AATAAGCATCCCTACTGATTTTGATGATCACATGACTGCAAAAAAAGGGTGCTTATTTTCACGATTTTACGGTAATTGGAATATAACTATATCCTCTTTATGGATCTTTTCAATTCCAATTAGCACATCTAATAAAAAATGCATTTCCAATAGCCTATTAATTTTTATAAACAAATATTATTAAAATTAATTTAAATACTTTATTAAAGATAATATTTATAAATACCAAATTTTTATGCTTTCTTAAAATTAGATTTCCATTATAATGAGTATTTATATCAGGATTAATAAAAGTACAAGAAGATTTATGTGTAGTAACAAATTGACTAAAAAATAAAATTTATTTATTAAAATTATAAATTTAAAAAATTTAAAAAATATTAAGATAATACATTTTTTATTATATGTAAATTACTTATTATAAAGCAAATTCATAAGAATTATAATCTTCTTAATTAAATAATTCTTTATAATATTCATTATCAAAATAAACAGAAGTATAGATACTCTCAATTATTTGATTTGAAACAAATTATACCTTGATAAGTTTTAAATTCTCTTTTACATGAGATACCTAAAAAAAGATGATTTTTATACTTGACATTTTTCCAGGATCTTCCAATGAATATTGCACATTCCTTAATTTGAAAATATTCTTTATTTTACTAATATCCTAACCATCAACATTATAAACAGTTACTATACCTATCTCTGAGATTCTAGGATATTCTTTAAATTTAAAACAATATTCAATATCTCAAACTTCAAGATTCTTTCCAAATACAGCAGAAATAAGTTTAAAAAATATAAATTAAATCACTTCAATTTCTATATCTGACAATCTTTTATCTTCATCTTCACTTAAATTTTCATCTTCTATATTTAAATTATTACTAAAACCTCCTATAAATATTTATTTATTTAAAAAATGATAAATTAAATTTATAAATTATTATTTATATTATATTATATATACATAACGCGATTTGCGTTTTATTTAAAAAAAATTTTTTTTATTTTAGTATTTTTATTTTAATTGAAAAATTGATTTATACATACTGTCAAATCAAAAAATCAGAATTAGAATTAGACGTATAATCAGACATTTGCGATATTAGTAAAAAAGTTTTATTTGATATGATTAAAATTTAAAATTTTTTTTTTTAGAATTTATCGATTGGTTATTGATCACTTGATTAGATTTTCTATTTTATTTTTATTATTAAAGAAAGTTATTTTTATATTAGGATTCCAGTACAGTACGCTTTGACAATCATTATTTTGATCTGCAAAATCGTATCGTACTGGTATTTTAATAAATATTATAGAACTGGTATGGTATAATACAATCATAATTTTGAAAGATCATATCGTACTGTACTGTACTGGTCCTATAATAGATGTAATTATATATAGGACCAGAACAGTACAGTACGATATGATCATTTAAAATTATAATCGTATCATACTGGTTTTATTAATATTATAAAACTGGTATGATACGATCATAATTTGGAGGGAATACAGCAAACCTGTACAGTACAATTAGCAATGTATGTATTGTATAGATAAAGTTTACTATACATATATTTATAGTAATCAGCAGATTATCATGTATATATGTATAACACAAATTGCAGTTTTATACATATTTGTATAACTTTGATTAAATTAAAAAGGAAATTTGATTTAACTTTAAACTTTTCCTTATTTTTATTAGTATCTTAATATGCTAACCAAATATATATAAATAAATAATATACTCCTTAATATTTAAATTTATTTTTCTTTGTTTTTTTTTTAATTAAATACTATTCTTTTTCCCAGGTTGATTAGTCTGAATATATTTATTTAGAAGAATTCTGAAATTTACAAAATTGCCTGCATGATAACTTGATTTATTTACAAATAGATTCTTAATCCTTCTATTCTATATCCAAATTTGTTATTTTACCTAAAATGTAAAATCAATCTTTTATAAACGCGTTCGTTGTGTTTTTTTTTCAATTAAAATCTTTTTGCCATTATCATTATGTCTAAAATAAATCCTGTTGTACTTTCTGATATTGAAACTATTTTTGATAATGAAACAATATCAGAAAATGAATCTTATAAATTATTAGATAAACAGGTTTACTTTTATTTTTTTTATTTATTTATTTTTTAATAATATATATTTAATTTTTTAATTCTTAAAATTTTTTAGAATGATAATGAAAGTAAACAAATAGCCTTTTTTACAAGAAATCTTTTAGTTACAGAGATTATACATTTAGCTTTTCCTATCGAATATTTAAAAACTTCACCACAAGATGTAGCTACTATTTTCAATATTTCTGATTGGTCAAATCCAATAGTTGTTTATATAATATAAGTATTCTTTATGATAAAAGTTTATAAAATCATTTTAATATCTTTTATTTAATTTTAAATATTTTTTTTTATTAGATATAATATTCTTTTAATAGTACTGGAGGATTTAATTTAATTAAAATTTGCCTATTTTTTGGAGTATCAGTTAAAAAGGATGAATGAAAATATTAAGGAATTAAGCATTGTACTTTTGTTAACTTAGAATTTATTAAAGAATCACATAACAAAGTTGATATAGAATCTGAGACTTTTATTAAAGCTAATCAATATTGAAATGAAAATAATATAAAAACTAAAACTTATACATAAGTTTTATATATTTATTGATTTATATTTTATTTTTTCCTTTACTAATGATAAATTAAATAAATATAGATTATTTTTTGCTGCTCAATCATCAGTTTGCAAATATAAAAGAAAAATGAAAATTGTAATAGACAAGCAAAATTAAGAAAAATTATTAAAAATGCTGGTGAAAGTGAAGAATATATTATTGGATATGATAAATGGATTAAAGAAGAAAAATGGCATCATTATATTAAAGTTTCAAAAGAGATTGATTTAAAATTATTACGCGATCTTTTTCAAGGACAAATTGTATGTATTTTAATTATACAATATATATTTTTATATAATTAAATATAAAAAATAATGATTATTTTTTATT